AGTCTGTTCCAGACTCCATTTATCTTTTGCCGAAGCTCAAACTCTGGCACAGGATCGGGAACGTTGGAAGCTTTGTCTGATGCATCTGCCTCCGCAACCCGAAAGCAGAAGCGGCGATGGAAGATGATGATGAAGAAGATAATAAATTTAATGTCATAATTTCTTGCTGGTGTCTGACTTCGCCACACTCCCTTATGGTCATGAGTCGTGGGCCATGTTTGGAAAAATTCGATCCTGCGCAGGAGCGTTTAAAACGGGCTTTCTGAGATGAATCGCTGGATTCCAGCGGTTGGACTTTGTCCGGGAATACAGATCTCCAAGTGAAGGTCTTTGCTTACAACCGCTGCCCCACCAGATAGAGAAATGACAGAAGCGATTTTTAGGCATATCTTGCGAACGCTTACTCTGCTCCAGGTTCGACTCATCCTTTGCCAAAGCACAGCCGCAGTTACAAGAAATGACCGACTGATCCGAAAGGCTTAGGTGCCCTGGCAATTTGCACATCTACAGACCTTTTCTAACTGATCAGATACGACTTCCACTCATTAGAATTTGATTTGAAATAAATCTGCTGTCCCACGCTGATCTGTCAGAAAAGTGAATTGTTCAATGGCTCATCTTCAAGTCTAAAGTAAATACGAAGGTGGCCATCAATCCGCAGGGCCGCAATATTTGTTTCAGCTAACAGGGTTCAAACTATCCTTCTAAGTTTGCAATTTTGTTTGCAAATTAGGGCATAAGAATAGCACATGACAAAGCTCCGAAATATAAACCACAGAAAAAACAAATTATGAGTGCGCTTGTTAGTTTGCATGAAGATCACTGTCACTGGACCGTGTGGTCACGGTGAACCGGTTGAATAATACAGTAAGCGCCAGGTCAACAGGTGCCGCAATAGCGAGCAATGCGAAGCGCGTTTAACAGTGAAACGTTCGTTGAATGGGGGCACCAGGGATCGATCGATTCTTCCGCCACCCTTCAGAATGAACGAAACCTCGTTGCAATGCTAACGGCCACTAGCCGCCTTGGCCATTCACAACATACACACACAACATAGGCATCTGTCGATTACCCTTGCACAAACGTCAGACTGTCCGCGCCTGAAGGATGCTCCTCGCCAATAAAGGTCCCCTGTTTTGTCACCTCACTTTCGCTTGGGGCCTCGTTTTCCGTAGTAGATTTAGCGGCCGTTGTCGGTTCCTCGTCCTGACCAACGACGTTGTAATAGTCGCGGTTCGGATCGAGTCCAAGGTAGGAATAATCTTCGGTGATCTTCTCAAGCATGCAGCGCAACTGCTCCCTGAGTTCTGAAAACGACGGCCTTCGATCAGGATGAGCTGCCCAGCAGTCCAGCATTATTATATACCTGCAACAGATTACACAGTTTTGCAAGGGATCAAACAAAGCGCATGTGATTACAAATCGTCCGGACAGTTTTCAGGCTTTTCCATTCGTTTACCGGACTCCAGCAGTTTCTCCATGTCTGACGGTTGAATACCTGGGTACGGTGAACCACCGAGGGTGATGATCTCGAATAGCAAAACCCCAAACGACCATCTAAACTATCAGTGCAAAAATAAACACTAAATTGATTAATAAAAATAATAACCAGCATTACTTATTACTACATTACTAAACACTTACACAGGCGTATTTAATTTCATTTAAAAATGGTCATCTATCATTGTTTAAACATAATGAGTTCGTTCGCTAAAGTATGTCAAGGATAGGTACTGCACTAGCCGACAAAATGACACGAAATGCATCTGCTCCAGTAGATGCGCAAATATCATGAAGTCGTGGCCTGCCTAAACAGTACCACCAGACAAGCGAATGGTGCAATAAACCGTGAGTGAAGTGTGACACTGGATGAGTGAGTCATGCATTACCAATCATAGTTGAAAGATTTAAATTTAATGGTTATGTTCAAAGACTTGCACGAATAAAAATCGACGGTTACAGTTGAGAAGAGCTTACACGTCAGACTTTGAGGTGAACTCGTAGCTCTTGATCGCTTCAAGTGCCATCCACTTTACTGGCAATCGACCACCCTTACCCATGTAGACCGGATCACTGTAAACGTAACGGCACAACCCAAAATCGCCGATCTGCAAAACAGAATAATAGCATAAAAACAAATAGGCGTGAACGATTTATTTAAAACGTTGAACATCGAAGGTAAGAGGCCAAAATTGATTACTTGCAACTTAAGACACGGAAAAGTTTTTGAACGAAGACATCAACAGAGCATTAGTGTTTTTATGAAGAGTGAGCAGTCAGTATTTAGCATAAAGTACATCAAAGGAACAGGCAGTCACGAAACAAGAGAATACCCCGAAAGAAAGGGAGTAGCTGCGTTTGGAAGAGCACGACCTAACTTCGAAATATTTGCTTCGGAAATGGCAGAGCAGGTAAACACGGGACAATGCCCCTCATGAAAGTGACCACGTTTACGCCCACGGAAGACCTACCTTTCAGAAAACATATTTTATGTGGAGATATAATGATGGCTTTGATTCTGAAGGGCTTTGTTTAGGTAAACGACATTCAGATTCTATACCTGAAGAAAAAGATTTGGAACCACAAGATTGATTTTTAGCCCTGCACACAGCTCACCACGATCTTGAGGCATCAACGATATTTCGTTGCTAGTTTTATAACGTTATGTAAATGACAGTATCCGATGTAATCGTCCCACCAAAGGGATGACAAAATGAAAGTAAAGGCTTGTGAAATATTATTACTCTGGATACATTCAAATCCTGACCATTCAAATAGCATAGTATGCCATTTTCGCATACAATTTTCAAGTATCTTGAATGCCTTGTGTGCTTGGATCATTCTTCAAGAACAAGCTGAAGATCAGATCTGACGAATCTGAGC